TTTGGTTGCTCTTTTTTTCTTTGTTGCTCTTTTTTTGTTTGTTGCTGATTTTTTTTTTTGTTCTTGTCGCTGTTTTGTTTTGTTTTTGTGCTGGTCGCTGTGTTTTTGTTTTTTTTTTTTGTTCTTGTTTCCCTTTTTTCATTTCTGTTTTTCCTTCTTCCAAATCCCACGCTTTGTAGGATGTGTGATTAGATTCAGATAAGGGATAGTTTGTTCATGGGACATGTTTCCGCAGGGATTATATACTGGAAGAAATTTTCCATGCTCTAAGTATCTGAGTAACACACAGGAGAATATTGTGTCCATATTATACTCAAGCCGTTATCTGCGAGATAATGCTTTCATTCGTTTCATTATATTGGTTTATGGTTGTGACAATATGTCGTATGAGACGTTGGGAAAGTTATTAGCAAAATATGTGCTCAAACGGGGAATAGGGGCGGATGGACAGGCATATACGGTAATTTATTGTGAGCGACACATGCCGTGAGCAGGCGCCTACATATATATATAGGTGGTCGAAAGGCAGGGTACGCAGTTTGCAGCATGCATATGTTCACGTTACTTGAACGGGGAATCATATGCCCGATGTGAACATACCATCCGTGGACCACAATGTAGCATAGCGGCGACTGGCGCCAATATCTTGCGTGAATACAAGAAAATGACATATATGTATTCGCTTCCGCATTACTGCAATTGCAGCAAACTTTATGGAAAGATGTAGAAGCGCTACTTGACAAATTTGTGGAATATTTGGAAGATGAGGAAATAGACATCTATGCATCTAATTGTTTGAACGCGGGTTATAGGAGTCTGAGGAAACCTGGAATACTTATGGTACAGAAAGTAGCGGATAGACTAATGTGCACACTTATGTCACGAGCATTATTTTTCATGAACAGGTGGCCGAGGAGCTCCGGGGTTTCGCACGAGACAGAAGATGAGAATGCAGCGTTGAAGGAATATATAAGGTGCGCCATAGTAAATATATTTATGCATATACTAAATGCATCTGTATGCAGAAGTCAAATGGGCATACATTATGCATGGGAGACTGTCACATACTTGCAGGAGACTATGCCTGGATTAATTAAGCAAGGAAAATGGCGGATGGGGGTGTTTACAGACATAAAAATACAGGAATTAGAAATGGGGGAAAATATTAAGGCATGGTTAATACACAACGGAAGAGTAACAGGACAAGTTGGAGGCAACGCAATGAAAAGCACATGTAGGAAAAGGATACACGAACTCGTAGGCGCCACACCGGATGCACATGCCATGCTTGACAACACAGACCTCAGGCCCGAGGAGGAAGAAGCTATACGTGAGTTAGGCCACGAACTGAAGGTCATAGTTGAGCACGTAAAGACAGAAGTAGTGCAATGTGCGCGGGAAAATGGAGTATCCACGCACACTAACGAAGACGCAACCAGTACAGATATCGACGATGACGTCCATGAGGCCACAGCACCCAACTCTGTCGCCGGCGGCACACCAGCACCACCACTCGGCAGCGGACCACAACCTTCGACACCGGACCCGCCGACGCCGGCAAATACAACACCAGAGAAGCCAAATAAAGGACCCGTAGGTAAGACCGAGGGGAGAAAGCACCAATACGGCACGCTCTCTACGTACCGTACGACTGCGCACGGATGGATGCCACCACAACAACGCACGCGGGGTGCAACACTAACGCAGCAGCTACAACGCACACGCGGCGACAACAGCACAGCACAGCGCAGCTCCCTCGTTGAGTCCAGATGTGCGGCCAAGACGGTAGCGACGAGGCACCCGACGACGACACGACGGCGACAACAAATAAAAGTGTAATGCTATTATCCACTCATTGTACCGTACCTTTCCACATTGCACTCCCTCCTTTTGCGTTCCAATGTTTCCATAGTGACCGTAACCAACTGTACTATATTTGCACTACTGGACAAAGGAAACAGAAAAAAAAAGATTACTAGAGACGTATTCCCCTACATGCTGATACATGGTACATTTGAGGCAACTGAGATGCGGCTTGTGCGACAGCATATTAGATCCTTTCGTACACAAGTGCATTATATAGAACACTAGAATAATATACATATATTCTTGTAATTGTGAAAGTTGATACTTGAGGAAGATTAAAAAAAAAAGAGAAAAGAAAACGAAAAGCCCTAAAATCTTAAGCCCCCTAAACCTCTTAACCTGTAAACTCCGAAAATCTGAACCTTGAAAAGTGAACCATCTATGCGAAACCCTAAACATCGCAATATTGAAGCCTTCAATCCTAAACCTCTTAACCTCCGCAACTGTGGTCCTTGAAGCGTGAACCATAAATCCGGAACCCTAAAGGGCGCTATCCTGAAACCTTACAATTCTGAAACTGTGCAAACCTGAACCGCGCAATCATTAAGACTTACGCCCTAAATCCTAAGCCCCCTGAACCCCAAAATACAAAATTGCCCTACACTTATGTTTCATTTTTATGCATATTCCTTACGCTCTTAATTAAATCCATTCACACTTTGTCAAAAAGAAGATAGAGATGCGGGTATACACGCATAAGAAGGTTGTGAAACTATATTTCTGCATTTGTTATTTATCACTACCCGTAATAAAACCTGAGAACGATATAAATAACCACCCCATAAATAAAAAACGGGCACAACACATGTATAATTATTCAAATACGTGACAATAACAACCCCCCCTAAAACACTGATACAGTGTAACTTTGAGCCCACGGCTCTACACCCCAAAAAATTTTTTGTCGCCGTTCTTGTATGTAAAACGAGCTATAATTGATTCTCTGCATATTATTTTCTTCACCCTTATATCTGACTTAAAAACAGTAAAGTGTTCTTTCACATATGGAATTTTGCTCTCGTGCATATGCTCTTTGCTCCCACTACACCGTTAAAACGGCGACCTCATTGATCAGCCCGTGCTGAATTTGTGAACAATGTTGACCCCTTTAGTCAACTTTTACATCGTACAGCATGTTCCAACCATGGGTTCCTCCGTTTTGTTACGTACTTCCTCCTTCCCTTATATTAGGGTGCGCCTGAACTATTAATTCAAATCATATTTATATATTTAGGTAAGAATATTAAGTTGCGTACAACATTGTTTTTACCAGTATTCATCATTAACCGCTGAAAAGAAGTATTACACGCATAATCTGTACACCTAGATGTGGAAGAGAAAACAATTCTATAACTCATACATATAAACAATATATCGCCACTTCTA